ATTAGCCTTCATTTTCTACTCACCCCCATGCTGAACAACACTCTGGAGTACTTTTTTGATATCTCAAATGCATCTGGAGATCTGGGAGGCTTCCCTAAGATAGGGATAAGATATCTCTTTTCAAAATAAAACACCACCATTGTTGGAGGCAAAACTAGGTTAGATGAAAATGGTTCATTCAGGTTTAAGGGACTTTACTCTCCTCAAGCTATTTTGTGCCTAATTTGTAGGTGTGGTGAGAGTGATTCTCAATTTAGAAGCCTTATTTGTGTTTAGACAATACTAGACTATTACTGTCCCCCTCTATACGCTCATAATTAATTTTGGACCTAATCTCCTTAAATTTACTAAATCTTTCTGGAAATTGTATTACCAACAAAACAAATCATCCATCCATTTGTGCCTGCTTCTTCTGTCAGGGTCATGGTCAGGCTGGTGAGTCCTGCAGTCTAAGGTGGTCAAGAAGTCCATCGCAGGGCAACACAGAGACACAACAATCCAGACACACACTTACACCTAAAGACAATTTAGAGATGCCAAATAGCCTAACAGTTATGTTTTTAGACTTTGGAGGGAAGCCCAAGTACCTGGAAAGAACCAATGTATGCACGGGGAAAGCGGGCAAAACCACATGCAGAAAGACCCTGGGGCGGGAATCGAAGTCAGAACCTTCTTGCTGCAAAGCAGCAGTGATACAAACTGTGCTATCATGCAGCCCAAAATAAATCAATCAGTTAATTTCTAAAAAAGTGTACTATGCTGGCATGATTCTGCCACCCCTGCAGTTTAGAGTTGAAAAGTGGTTCTCAAAATTGCATCTTCAGTCCTTTTCCTAATTTCATGATGCTCATCATTGCAAAAACCTTTATCAGATGAAAGAATTTTCTTTTTACTCTCTGCCTATGTTATAACAAGGTCTATTTTACTGTAAATAATGATTTTTAGAATATATTTTTTTTGTCGTTGATGTACTGTATGTTCTTGTTAAACCCCAATATCATCTACGTGTTAAGTATAGGGTGCCATTTTTAAAGCTAGGCAAAAACTGGGAGCATTAGTTATTTTTATTTTGCATCTTTTAAGACAAAAATAAGGGTGTTTTTTTTTCTAAGTCAGTTTTTAAAAATCTTACTTTGTTAAAAAAANTATACTGTAAGTCCCCAATCCTCTCCCAGAAGAAGCTGCAGAAGGACAGCAGAGGAACTGCTGCTCTAGTATCTCTTGGTCAGTCAGACAATCTGTTCACTCTCTGCCAGATTCTAAAACATTATTGATCAATCAACAAGATAAGAAGTTTGAAGTTCATGCACTACTATTGATCAAGTTCTTGGAATTCCCAAAAGGTTTAATATTAATCAGTTTCAGCATCAATGCATCATTGTCATGTTTACTCTAAATACAAGCAATGGATGCCATTTCTCTGGCTGTAAATACCGACAGGTTTATTGGGTGGAGGGTTTTGTTTCTATTTATGTTCAGGTGAATTTAGTTAGTTTGGAAATTGGTGTTTGGTTTGGTTTATGTTAACTAGTCTCTATTTGTGTGTATTTGGTTGATTAATTTATTGTCTGTCAGAGAAAATGTCTGAAATAAATTCCTGATCATTCATTCATTCATTTATTCAAGCAGAGTTTTAGAGAGCTCCAAAGTATTTAGCAGCTAGCTATTAGAAGCTTGCTTACAGAGCGACAGCAGCTAACTACTGCCTGAATGAATATTATATCCTAAATCAATAAGTGGTCTGATAAAAGCAGCTCTCCTCAGCTGTCTCCTCCCTCAGAGCTCTCCTTTTCTCCTCCCTGTGCTCCTCAGACCCTCCAAACCAAAGGCAACAATGGGAGATCTATTGGATCATTCAAGGATTGCATTGAAGATTTGACAGCCAAGATGAAAAGATGGCAGATGTGAACGCAACACTAACCCAGAATCCAGTAATGATCAACAGTGTGGCCAAAGCTCTAGAACTTAATGCTGCTGAAGTGAAAGATTGAAAGGAGAAGAAGCTGCTTTGGAGTCTGAGTCTGTTGAACAGAGGATCTGTTGCACTGCAGGTTCATCCACTTCACTCCATTCCTTTCATGGTGGAAGGAAAAATACAACTTTACTGCTTGAATGACTGTTTTTGTTCTTTATGTCGAGGTGTTATTGTTCAAACAGCTTTGTTAATGTTCAAATGTGTCTTTTATTTAAATGCTAGAGGACTTGTGGATAGAGTGAAAAGTAAAGCATTATTTTTAATCTCGTAAAGGCCAAGGAGCTCACTGCACCTTTCTGCAGGAGACCGTCTCCTGTCACACAGACGCCCCCTTGTGGTCAAACCAGAGGGGAGAAAAGATCTTATTGAGCCAAACTTTCTTCAAGTTTAGCCATCTGTGTTAATAAATGTCCTGCAGAGCTTGTTGCTACTAAAGCTGATGAACTGGCTCACTGGATGCCTCTTCTCTTTAATGTTCAAGGATATTCTGTCATTTTGGGCAATGTTTATGGGGATGCAAATACTAGTCAAAACAACTTGTTAATGTCAAAGTTAGATGATATTATTTCTGAATATAGGGAAATGAGCTATTCAAACTTTGTTGTGGTAGGAGGGAATTTATTAATCCTGATAACCTGGTAGAAGGATGGAGACAGAAACCCTGATGCCGTCACATGGATCAAAAGTAATGGCAGAACCACATCTCAGATCCATTTATGGTTAACCACACCAGAAGCAGTCAGATATCTTTCACATCTTCCTATTTCTGTTGCTCCTCTAACAGATCACTGTGATATATCACTCACATTAATTCAGTTATTGAAACAAATTAAGAAAAGATTACAGGAAATGTAATGCGGACTTATTAAAAGATGAAAAATATGTTTCAGTAATTAAAGAACTGATACATGAAATGAAAAATGATCAGACTATTGGTAACCTGAGGAAGAGATAGGAACATTTTAAATTCAAGTTTGGTAACATTTATTTCCAGTAACATTTAGTAAAATCAAATGCAAACAGCAAAAAGACTGAGAGTAAATTGGTGCAAAATTATTCATATATGCAGCTAAACTGAAATGACTGAATCTGACAAATGTGACTTTATAACATTATAAAAATCTATTAGATGTTATATATTATAAAGGGCAAATGGGGCTTACAGATCTAGAGCTAAATGGATAGAAGGTGAAAAAATACATTTTTCCAATCTAAAAAAAAATAGGCAAGAATGAAAAATATAAAATCAATAATTATAGATGACAGAGAATGCACCAATCAGCTTAAAAAGATACGATCAGATAAAGGGATCTCAGAGGAAATATACAGATTTTTAATCCAATTAATATTCATCAGAGTACAGTTCTGTGAACTCAAATATTTTTTCTAGAAGTAATTAAAAACATTTTCCAAAGAAAAGATTTAACCTTTAAAGAAAGTCTGATGTCACATTAGAAGAATTAGACAGAGTCACAAAAAACAGCTACTGGGAAAGCATTGAGACGGTTTAACTACAGCATTTCACAAATATTTTGGGGAAGAACTAAAACATTTCCTTTATGAACCAATGAAGGGCATTATTGACTATCTCTTTAACATTTACAGTGAAACAGGGACTCATTACTTTCATTCCAAAACCAGCAAATGATCAGAGATGCATTGAAAATCTTCATCCAGTCACTTTATTAAATGCTGATTAGAAAATATTTACACGTGATTGCAGGCAGATTAAAAGATGGTTTATTTCAGATAATAAGCGGTACACCATCTTTTCTTCTTAAAGAGAGATCTATTCCTAATAATGTGACACTGCTTTTAGATTTGCTGAATAATGAGCCTCTGGTGGAGGATGATGAGGCCGTTCTTTTTTTGGACTTTTAGAAAGCATTCAATGTGGTTGAGCTCACATTGATTATAGAAGCATTGGAGTATTTTGGCTTTGGGGAAAGATTTATAAAAACCAATATGTTGCTTCACACAGACATCCATAGTTCAGCATCCCTGCCTTCTGGAACAGCTAAAAGTTTTAACATTCAAAGAGGAATACGCCAAGGCTGTCCTGCTTCTCCTCTGTGGTTTATTATTGTGGCAGAACTTTGAGCAATGGTTTTAAAAATGATGGGAACCCCCCTGGTAATTCCTCAGCTAGCATATGAGACAGGGATGTTTTTAGATCCAAAGTTTTCTAAAGCTTCTGGCCGACATCTGAATATAAGGAAATGTGAAATGATGACTATTCATGATAGTCCACTTAATGCTGTTTGTTATATTTCAATCCAGGAATGGGCTGAAATATTTAGGCATCAATATTTCCAAGGATAATGAATTAAGAGAAGTATCACACATAGAAAGTAACATTCAGAAAACTTCAACCATTTTCAACATTTAGCTCCAGAGAGATTGATCTATTTTTGGACATATTTGTCTCACTAAAATGGAAGGTGTCTCTGGGCTTATTTACCCAGCATACTCATTATATATGTCTGATAAAGTGATAAAGCGGAGAAAAATCTCTAAACTCAGAGTTCATCATCAGGATCCAGTCAGAGTTTCTTTAAACTCAAACTGTTGCAGCTTCAACCTCTGAGGATCATCAGGACACATCAGCTTCTCTCCTCCACTAAGATCACAATGACCACCACTTCCTGCAGAGAGAAGAAGGATGAAGAGAGGAGATCAGTGAGTGTTTCCAGCCTCTCTCTCTCCATCAGCTGTCAGTCAGTGATGCAGCACATCCAGGATAAAGAGCAGCAGGGACTTCAGTCCTGTTCAGAGCAGCTGTGGAGCAGCTGGACTCACTCCAACCATCTACTTACAGAAGCTGCAGTTTGTAGTCTGGACTCTCTACAAGATCCTGCAGCTGCTGAACATCTGACTCCTTCAGGCTGTTGAACATTAGGTCCAGTTCAGTCAGATGGGAGGGGTTTGACTTCAGAGCTGAGACCAGAGAATCACAGCTGATCTTTGATAAACCGCAGTAATTCAACCTGGATAAAGAACAGAAAGATGTGAGCTGATCCAACAGGATGCAGGTTAGAACAGTCCAACAGAAGCAGTTAAAGAGCTCTCATTAATATTAATGCCAACATGCTGCTGCTCCAATAAAGACCCGCTGCCTTCAGCAAAGAGAAGGAGAAATCAAACACCAGACAGAAGGAAAGAAAAGGTGCATGTAGGTTTATACAGTATATACAGTGTTTCTAGATATATGGCAGCTGAAGTCTTTTTTTGTTTAAAGCAGGATTATTATACAGGGTTATTGCTCAGGGTATTTACATGGGTATTTATATAGATGGGTATTTCTCTGTATAGCTATTGCACTGGGTATCAAATATAAAGAAAGAAGTTATTGTACAGGGTATTAAATAGTAAGTGCACATTAGACATTGCACAAGTTATTGCCGTTGTAGTGTTGCATTGTGGAGTCTGATGGCAGCAGGGATGAATGACCTGTGGTAGTGCTACTTTAGAATAAACAAATATTCTACATCTGACCTCAATGTCTGTAATTTGCAGAGGGGAGACTGGAGAAACCCACTGAGCTCCTTCATTCCAGGGTCCAGGTTGGTGAAGCTCAGGTCCAGTTCTGTCAGATGGGATGGATTAGACTTCAGAGCTGAGCCCAAATAAGCACAGCTGATATCTGACAATCTGCAGTTATCCAATCTGAATAAAGAATAAAAGATTTTAGCTGAATTCAACAGGATGCAGATTAAAACTTTCCATTAAAACATTCCCGGAGAATATGTGACCCCGGCACGTGATAAACACTAGTCCAAGGACCATTGGTTATTTTCCTCTCTGACACTTTGCTGGCCCAATCATACAGCATCACTGAACACATTCTCTCTTTGGCCAGGGTCACTGAATATAGTATAACACGGTACGCAGCTGCTACCATGCTGAGATGGAGATAAATCCCAGAGGAGTCGCTAGAAACTACGGGAACAAAACTCTATTCAAATGACTCCAAAGGTGGAAAATGACAGTAAGGTTTGCAGGACAGGGCCTTCACTTAGTTAAATACTTTAACAAGTTGATTTTACAGGATAGAGGCCCTTGAAATAAAAAAAACTCCTAACAACTATTTTTATTTGGAGCTCCAAGCTGAACAGAAGAAATGCAGATTTAACCAGGTGATCTACTTTCCCTCCTCATATTTCTCACTTCATCCCGTTCTTCCAAGTGACTGTAAATAAACTCCCACTTTCTCTGATCAGGGAGGTGATGTGAGGCAGAGCGTCATGATTTCAGCACAAAGTTGACAGGAAGTTGCTCTTTTAGCAGCTCAGCTGCCCAGAGCAGCAACTTTTCTTTTCTAGCTGCTGTCTAAGT